TCTGTAAAGATCCCCTAATTTACAGATAAAATGTAGTAGGGTCCTGGGGTAGAAGCAGATCCAAAGATTTAAATTTTCTGCAATTACAAATTGATAAATTTGTCCGAGTGGGAAAAAATCGAAATTCTGTGTATGACTGGAGTTGAGGTCAAACTCAAATTCAAAAAAAAATACAGTTAAGCTCTTCAATGCAACATATCCTGATCGCCAGCCCATTAGTCAAAGCGTGGTTAATAAGTAAGTTAGTCATAACCGAGTTATGACTAACTTTAAAGATGGGCATGTACGAGATCTCTCAAAGTCTGGCCAAACAAATGTTCCAAGTGAGGTTCAACAAAACGTGGTTTTACTTGTGCAAGAAAACCATCATGTTACTGTAAGGGATATTGGATCAAATCTGGCCATTAGTAAATTAAATGTTCACAAAATATTAAAAACCATAAAATATCATCTCTATAAAGTAAACCTCATTTACGAGCTCGACGAAGATGATTTTGATAGGAAAGAGGAATTTTGTGAGCAGTTGGAACAATCTTGCAACGACGACGAATACTTCGTCAAAAACATAATTTTTTGAAACTTGGCAACATTGAGTGGACAAGTAAACAGACAAAATTGTCGGTATTGAGCTACCCAAGTGAGCACCAAAGAGGCAGCAAACACGCCCTTCATTGGACCCCAACCTGGATGTGGACTACAAAAAAGCCACCTAAAACAAATAATCAATAACTGGGAGGCTTCAAAGATAGCCTTACGCTAAGGATTAATGCTTCAGTGATGAAATCGTTTTAAAAGCGAACGAGTCTTTTGAGTAACCCTGTATATTAATTACATCGCGCTATTAACGAAGTTTACAATTAAACTAGACCATAGTTTTTTTAAATTAGCAACACTCAATAAGTAGGGAGGTCGAATTAAGACAATATCAACAAAATGTACAAAAAGAATGTTAAGCTTTTCAAAGGGGCGACGTTTATGTTAATATTGCACATATTATTTTATTTTATTTTTTATACGCACTTTTGAATTTGTAAAAAACCGTTTATTAATTCCAGATTAATTAAAGGGCAATTCAAGGACAGGCTAAGTGCTATTTTTGTGCATTCACTATCGTGTGTAGGCCGTAAAGCTGACAATTTTACCCAAAATGAAGCAAAACTGTTTAAATAATAATTAGGAATCATTCTATAAGACGAATACATGTTTTGCCGTTCCATGATGTCAAACACCTATAACGACGAAATAGTTCAAGACATCAATCATATTCAATAAAATAAAAAAATGGGAGAATATCTTTGGGTTATTATTTATAGTTATGGACCGAGAAAATAAACACAAATTTATAGCCGGCTNGAATCTTTAAATTAATTTGATTTTAATTTTTATTAAATTGTTTCAAAAATCTTTGACGTTTCAAAATAATCCCTTGTTTATCGACCTTAAATCACTATATGCTTGTTTATAATCATCAAAATAACATTTAATGTGTTAAAGTCTTACGAAAATCTTCTATAAAACCTATAATGAACAAGAAGAAGCAGCGGAAACGGGATGAAAGCTCCTCCTCAGAAGACAGCTCATCTTCTAGCTCCAGTTCTAGTTCCTCCTCAAACTCATCGGAAGACGAAAAAAGGCAATCAAAGAAAAAGTCGAACACCAAAAACGTTAAAATAGTAAAAGAAGCTTCTAATGAAATCATAAAGAAGCAAATAAAACGTTCGAGGAGCTCATCACAAAGTGGGGTTAGATCAAAAGCCGAACACTCAAAGTGGGACAGTCCTGATGAAAAATCAAGAAAGGAGACGTAAGATTTCAACAATTTTATTAAAAATTAATAATTAATTTGTTTTTTGATGTAGTAACAAGATTGAAAGACCGCCATTAAAACATTCCAAGCACTCGGAATCAAATTACGAACAACAAAATTATGATAATAACCGAGATAGATATAAATCAGAAAATAGGTATCCAAAACGACCATCAAGGGAACGACAATATGGGGAACCATCTAATCCATGGAATTCAAAACGTAGAGATGGCGAAGAAAGGGAATTTAGACATCAAGGGAATCGACATGAAGCGCCAAGAAATCGCAGAAATGATTATAGAGATCAAAAGGAAAGAGATTATAGGAGGAATGATTATGAATCCAGGAGAAATGATTATGATACAAGAAGAAATGACTATGATTCAAAAAGAAATGAGTATGATTCAAGAAGAAATGATTATGACTCAAAAAGAAATGATTATGACTCAAAACGAAATGATTATGATTCAAAAAGGAATGATTATGGCTCAAAAAGAAATGATTATGATCAAAAAAGAAATGATTATGATCAAAAAAGGATTGATTATGATTTAAAAAGAAATGATTATGATTCAAGACGAAATGATTATGAATCAAGAAGAAATCATTATGATTCGAGGAAAAATGATTTTAACAGGCGAAGACGTCGAAGTAGAAGTGATGATTTTAATCACAAAGATGCAAAATGGGGAAAAGACGGCGACGATGAAAAACCCTCAACAAAACCGGATCAAAAAGAAAAAGAAAAACCGAATTTTGCACTCTCTGGAAAGTTAACAGAGGAAACAAATACTTATAGAGGGGTGGTAATTAAGTATAGTGAACCCCCGGAAGCTCGAAAACCAAAAAGGCGTTGGAGATTGTATCCGTTTAAAGGGGATAAAGCACTTCAAACTCTTTATATTCATAGGGAAAGTGCTTATTTAATTGGGCGTGAGCGTAAAGTGGTCGATTTAGCTATTGATCATCCATCATGTTCAAAACAACACGCTGTATTACAATATCGTTTGGTTCCATTTACCAGGGATGATGGTTCAACAGGGAAAAAAGTCAGGCCGTATTTAATTGATTTGGAGTCCGCAAATGGGACTTTGATTAATAATAAAAAAATTGAGCCTAAGAGATATGTGGAGTTGCTTGAGAAGGATGTAATTAAATTTGGATTTAGTTCAAGGGAATACGTTTTATTACATGAAAATAGTAAGGATGAAGGCGATGACGACGATGTTAAAGACGAGGAGGTTGTCGAAAATGTTAAAAAGGAAAAAGAGTAATTTTTTTAGGTTGTAAATTAAATCTAAGAATAAAATAAGTTTTACTTAATTAAAAAGATATTGTAATTTGAGTGAATTAATAAAAAGTAATTAATTAAACAAATAATTCATGTTTTAACCCTAAGTACTAGCCTTATATCTTTTAATATAGTTCATTTTTTTTCTATAATACCTGTCAAATTGTTGTAAAGTTGGCAAAATTAACAAGGAATTTTGTTTTATCATGTTTTGAAATAGATACGTCACACTGACGTTTGAGCTTTCGTTATTCCAAAAGAAAAGGTGCATAAAAAATGTTGTGAGGTGTTTATTTGCCATTTACTTACCTAGAAAAGGTGTTTTGTTCTATTTAATTACTTTTTAGCACGTTTTTACAATAAATATGTACTTCGTTAAAATCGTATTTATCTACAAATTTATTAGTATTTTAACCTCAACTATTTAGTTACTGAAAATGTTACTAAAAATCAGGAAAACACGTAAATTTTATAAGGGTCCTAGATAATACCAACAGAAACCCTACAAAATTTACATTGACAAGTATTATAGAAAAAAAACGAACTATATGTACACTTTGTTAATTAATTGTCGTACCCAACGTCAACATTGCAACTATGCAACCAATATCACAGTATTGGTATTGCAATACGCGATTTCGATATTGGTTGCATACTTGCAATGATGATGTCGGGTAAGATATTCTAAATTGATGCGAGAGATTTCAAAGAGTGATTTTTCACAAAAATTAAAAACCGCTTCCCACCGAATTAGGTACTCTAAAGTTAGGGGGAAAAAATTGTTTTTATTTAATAAATCCATTATGGAGGAATTTAGAAGAATGAAATTTGGCAACTGTTGCTAATATAATGATAATGATTTTGTATAACCAGAAAATGTTATTACAAGGGGCTGAAAAAATCAACCCCTATAATACTTTGCATCAGAACTTTTTTAATGCGTCTACATTTTTCTATTTAAAAACTTGATTTAAATAAAGGGATTCAATACGCACCTTTTTTTGTCTCTTGACATTTTTTGTAATCAAACTAACAATTTGTTAGTTGTAAAATAATGTAAAGAGATAAGAAAGTTGCAGATTTTTTCCTTTAACTTTAGAGGGCTATAACTTGGAGAAGGGATTTTGAACAAAAAGTTAAATGCAAGACACCCCTTAATGTTTGCTGAAATGCTTGTATATAAAGAAAAATCCTTAATACAGAATTTTCTTTGTGATTTC